GAAATGTATACAACCCCCAACACACACACACAAATACAAAGACCAGTAAACAAAGCTAAATATTCCCCCGAATCACATAAAACCCACAGTCCAGTTTTTTGCTGGAAAAAAAAAATTCACCTAAATCACTTTGCTTATTCGTATTCAGTACCTTGAGCTTTGATTAAGCAAACAACTGAATGAATCAGTGTCTCATTTCCCGTCTTTGCCTGCTTTTGAGGGTTCTGTTAGGCCTCTTTCAGATGGATGTTCTGATCGGGTCCGCCTGCCCATTTTTCAGGCAGACCTGATCGGAACTTCCATTCTCCTCTACGGGGCGGTGGGTGTAAACGGACATGTATCCCTTTACACTCGCCGACATCCAATCTGATCTGCAAAAAAGAGACGGATGGGGATCCAGTTGGATGGAAATGGACAGGTGGTCTGTTTTCATCCAACCGCCCATTGAGGAGAGTGAGCAGCTTTGTCATCTGTTTGCTCAGCAGGGTTTAGCGGAGAGATCCCCCACTGAGCAAGCGGATTCACTAAACAGGTCCGCACCGCGTGAAAGGACCCTATGTCTGTAATTAGAGATACAGGCAGAAAGCAAACACCTACCACTGTGCTCTTTCTATGGACAACCCATACTGCTCTGTGACATCAGCATCATGGGTGCACTCTGCATTAAATATTTACTTCTGGAAGCAGCTAGTGAACTCCAACTTACCTCTATGTCAGGACACCTGCAACAATAGAGGCTGCCCCAAAAATTTTACTAGAGTGTGAGCACAGTGGCTTGAGAAGGCTTCTCTGGCAACTATGCCTCCTACTTAAAGTGGGTGTAAACATAAGACATGAAATATGGACAAAGCATATTCCTCTTTTGTTCGTACATGTCTCAATTAAGAGCGCTAAGTGTCATTTCTGTCTGCTTACAGGTTTTCCTGACACCAAGAGAAAAATGGTGACAAGTGAGGGACCTGCAGCAGATTGACAGCTTCAGCTCTGTTCCTGAGAGCTGTGTGGAGGGGGATGTGTCTCTTCCCTCCAATCAGCTCTCAGAACTCTCCTCACTGAGCTCTGCAGAATAAAACTTCAGTTGTTTGCCCCTTTTTTTCTGAACTCTCAGACAAGCATATACGTTCAGCTCTTTCAACAAATGTAGAGAATAGAAGACTTCAGATAGACAGATACAACTTATGTAAGAGGATTTGTTTAATCTCTGTGTATCAACTTATGATAGTCCCTTCATTGGGTGTATATAGAAGAGTTTACAACCAATTTAACCTGTTGATTCTCTACTAGGATAATAGAAGGGCCAAACTTACCTCCTATTCTCATCCTGCCCTTATCCATCCTATTTACGCAAGCCACGCATCACCTGCTTGCAGGGGCGGACTGACAACTCATGGGGCCTTCGGGCAATAGGGGATCAAGGGGCCCCTGTGTCCTTGCCCACACTCAAACCACACCCAAAAAAGCCTATGAAAGGTACTCATGGGGCCCCCTACTGGCCCCGGGCCCTTGGGCAGTGCCCGAGTTCCCAAATGGTCAGTCTGCCCCTGCCTGCTTTATGTATTTAACTGTCATCAGCATGTTTTTTTTTTATTTTAATTATGTTGATTCTGTGTTATGCTTCTCACTGTGTGGATTACCCCTGCGTGAGCTTAACCACTCACCCTCTGTACCTATTTTTATAACTCATTAAAAAAAGATTGTTAAAAATTTGTGAGCTTGATTTTGCTTTCAATTTGTTAGTGTATCTAAATCTGTTAGTACATCTAGCACTCGCCTCCCTGATCACCAGGTGAAAACAAAGGGAAAGAAACCTGAAAAAAAAAAAGAAAACTAATGCAGCTATCACATCTAATGATCGATAAGCCTCAATAAATTACATTTTTGGCTTGGGGTTTTAGTATCATTAGGACTAGGATTGTCGGTTTGAATTCCAACCACAGCACTACCTGAACAGAGTTTGCTTGTTTTCCCTGTGCTTGCATGGGTTTCCTCTGGGTACTCCGGTTTTCACCCATTCGCCAAAGACTGCATGCTGATAGGTTAATTGGCTCCTGTCTGAATTGTCCCTAGATTGTAAGCTTCGTGAGGGCAGGGATTGATGCGACTGTACAACATAGGTAAAGTGCTGTGTGTTGACACTATATAAGTACCCGTAATAAAAAATTATAGACCCTTCATTTCTTTGTAAGTGTGCAAAATCTGCAATGGATCAAATAATTATTTTCGCCACTGTAAGCATCAGAAAAATAGAAACTCGAAGACAACTTTTTTGAACAAAAAAAGGCCAACATAGTAATTACATCACGGACACTAAAGTTATCTGTCATCTATTGTACTTAACTAGATTAAAAAAAAAATTAATTTCTATAGTTGTTGAAAAGCAATTTCTTCTATTTTTTTTCTTGCTTTCAAGCAATGCTATGTATGCAATTAGGGTCAATTATGGTGTAGAAAAGATGCGCAGCTTCATTTAAATCAGCAAATAGACAGGGGTGCTTGTGTTTCTTGGATAAAAGTTATAAAGTTGTGATTCGTTAGCTCAAAAAACAGGAATGATAAAGCAAGTTCCTTTCATGCCCATCTGTTGAAAGGTTTAGAGTGCAGTCAGATGTGGAGGCACCATGCAACAGATCTTGGCCTACAAAATATTCAGAGGGCTCCATAAACATGAATGTTCAGCTGTGTCAGGCATGCAGGTTTCTTATTATATTATTATTATACAGGATTTATATAGCCCCAACAGTTTGTGCAGCACTTTACAAAATGAAGGTAGACATTACAGTTACAATACAATTTGGTACAAGAGGAAACAGGGCCCGGCTCGTTGGAGCTTTAAATCTAGGAGGTTTAAATTGTATGTATAGTCCAATTGTTTTGTTTCTATTTTGAATACAGTGTGAAAATATTAGAGTTCCTGTTAATTTTTTTTTTTTTATTGATGTCTGTGTCCCTACTGGGGAGATTCACCCTAATTCTGGTGACCATTGACATAGGACATATATTTTACAGTTATTGCTGTAATAGAAGATATGGGAAACCTTTCCATGGGGGCACTTCTTCTGTTACCACTTCCCGAAGAGAGCATTTTCCTAAATTTGCCAATAGATTTCCTTACACTTCCTGTTGTGTCTTTAGGACAGAAAGTGAAGGGAATTTTTTTTTAATTGGGATCACAGTAATACAGTTTATTGATGTGAGACCTTCCTAAGGGGCTGTATACGGAGAGGCAATTTGCAGGTTTGCTACTTAGTTACACTTACCCCGAGATGAAGTTATATACCGTCTTGTACCACCATTTGCACAAGCCCCAGAGAAGCTTCAGGAGTTGAGCCAGTTACTTTATACATTGATAAGAAAGAAATAGGAACATAAAACAAATATTTATTACTTTAATATGAATAGCGTAATCAGGTGAAAGTGGAAGCTTCAAATGTCAGTCTCAAGGTGTACTTTGCAGAAAAATTAAAAAGAAAAATAAATTATAAATATATATATATATATATATATATATATATAAAATTAAAAAGAAAAATAAATTATATATATATATATATATATATATATATATATATATACACACACACACACAATAACAGTGTGTAGGAAGCTTCATGGAATGGGTTTCCATGGCCGAGCAGCTGCATCCAAGCCTTACATCACCAAGTACAATGCAAAGTGTCGGATGCAGTGTTGTAAAGCACGGCGCCACTGGACAGTGGAGACGTGTTCTTTGGAGTGACAAATCATGCTTCTCTGTCTGGCAATCTGATGGATGTGTCTGAGTTTGGTGGTTGCCAGGAGAATAGCACTTGCCTGACTGGACTGTGCCAAGTGTAGAGTTTGGTGGACAGGGATTATGGTGTGGGGTTGTTTTTCAGGGGTTGGGCTTTGCCCCTTAGTTCCAGTAAAGGGAACTCGTAAGGCGTCAGCATATTAAGACATTTTGGACAATTTCATGCTCCCAACTTTGTGGGAACAGTTTGGGGATGGCCCTTTCCTGTTCCAAAATGACTGCGCACCAGTGCACAAAGCAAGATCCAAAAAGAAAAGGATGAGCGAGTTTGGGGTGGAGGAACTTGACTGGCCTGCACACAGTCCTGACCTCAACCCGATAGAACACCTTTAGGATGAGTTAGAGCAGAGATTGAATCTAGGCCTTCTCTTCCGACATCAGTGCCTGACCTCACAAATGCTCTTCTGGAAGAATGGTCAAACATTCCCATAGACACACTCCTAAACCTTGTGGACAGCCTTCCCAGAAGAGTTAAAACTGTTATAGCTGCAAAGGGTGGGCCAACTCAATATTGAACCCTAAGGACTAAGACTGGGATGCCATTAAAGTTCGTGTGTGTAAAGGCAGGCGTCCTAATACTTTTGGCAATATAGTGTATCTTACATGGACTATAAAACCTCTCCTTCTTATGTAATGGAGAGTGAGAGGAGAAGAAGGCTGTAGTCTAAAATCAGGAGGTCAACCTATAGTGACAACATTACTCCTCCATAGATATTGCAGTGAGTGAGGGTTGTTGCCTTTGAACAAAAAGTGTTACTTGCAAGATCACCAAGCGAAATAGGACAAATAACCTCAAAAAGGAAACTAAACTCAAAAACAAAATGTAATGTATTTCAGTCTTTTGTGTTTAGAACATTTTTCTGCTTTCTCTTGCTAGGAGACTACTTCTTGTTAGCACATGCTCAGACTGGCTACCTGTCCTGCTTCTTTCTTATACTTCCCAGCCCTGCAAGAGTTCCTCTACTGCAATAAAAAAAAATAAATTTAATGAAGTATTAATGACTACAGAGAAGCATTTACTGGTGATTTTATCTGACTAGAGTTCAGCAATAAATGTGACTGCATCCGTTTTTTATGCCAGAATTCCAGCGTCCTTCCTATGGGTCAAAGCAAATTCTAAAACCATGTCAATAGTTTGTGATAGCTTGATTTCCAAAAGTATTGGGACACCTCTCCAAATCATTGGATTCAGGTGTATAAAATCGAGCACCTAGGCATGCAGACTGCTTCTACAAACATTTGTGAAAGAATGGGTAGCTCTCAGGAACTAAGTGAACTCAGGCGTGGTACCGTGATGGGTTGCCAGCTGTGCAGTAAGTCTATCCATGAAATTTTCTTGCTGATAAATATTCCATAGTCAACCGTTAGTGGTATTATAACAAAATGGAAAAAATTGTCCCGTCACGTGGCCTACCACTTCGTGGCTGAGTTGCTCTTGTTCCCCGAGCAGGGTCAATACATGCTGAAGCGCACATTGTACAGAAGTCGCCAACTGTCTGCAGAGTCAATAGCTAAAGACCTCCAAACTTTGTGTGGCCTTCAGATTAGCACAACAGTGCGTATGGAGCTTCATGGAATGGGTTTCCATGGCAAGCAGCTGCATTCTAGCTCTACATCGCCAAGTGCAATGCAAAGCTTCGAATGCAGTGGTGTAAAGCACACCACCACTGGACTCTAGAGCAGTGGAGATGTGGTCTCTGGAGTAACAAATCACGCTTCTCTGGCAATCTGATGGACATGTCTGGGTTTGGCGGTTGCCAGGAGAACGGTACTTGCCTGACTACATTGTGCCAAGTGTAAAGTTTAGTGGAGGGGGGATTATGGTGTGTAGTTGTTTTTCAGGGGTTGGGCTTGGCCCCTTAGTTCCAGTAAAGGGAACTCTTAAGGCGTCAGCATACCAAGACATTTTGGACAATTCCATGCTCCCAACTTTGTGGGAACAGTTTGGGGATGGCCCTTTCCTGTTCCAAAATGACTGCGCACCAGTGCACAAAGCAAGGTCCATAAAGACATGGATGAGTGAGTTTGGGGGGTGGAGGAACTTGACTGGCCTGCACACAGTCCTGACCTCAACCTGATAGAACACCTTTAGGATGAGTTAGAGCAAAGATTGATTCTAGGCCTTCAGGTCCGACATCAGTGCCTGACCTCACAAATGCTCTTCTGGAAGAATGGTCATACGTTCCCATAGACACACTCCTAAACCTTGTGGACAGCCTTCCCAGAAGAGTTAAAACTGTTATAGCTGCAAAGGGTGGGCCAACTCAATATTGAACCCTAAGGACTAAGACTGGGATGCCATTAAAGTTCATGTGTGTGTGTGTAAAGGCAGGCGTTCTAATACTTTTGGCAATATAGTGTATCTTATATGGACTATAAAACCTCTCCTTCCTATGTAATGGAGAGTGAGAGGAGAAGAAGGCTGTAGTCTAAAATCAGGAGGTCAACCTATAGTGACAACATTACTCCTCCATAGATATTGCAGTGAGTGAGGGTTGTTGCCTTTGAACAAAAAGTGTTACTTGCAAGATCACCAAGCGAAATAGGACAAATAACCTCAAAAAGGAAACTAAACTCAAAAACAAAATGTAATGTATTTCAGTCTATTGTGGCTTCATTAGATATTATTTAAAAACAAAAAAAAAACAATAAAAAAAAATTTAAAAATGGGCAGATTTGATGGAACACTCAGTCTTTTTCTGCCGACACATTTGGATGTAAATTTTTTTGTATAGCCTTAGGTGTAGGCAGAATGGCAACAAGTAAACAGAGAACAAAAACCCAATGCAGTTATAACCCAGTCATTGTTTCCCATTATCAAAGCAGCCTAATACTAATGAAAAAGCATGAGAGAGATGCAAGTGGTAGGCCACGAAGTGGTAGGCCATTAAAATGACAGAGCGGGTTCAGGGCATGCTGAAGTACACAGTGCGCAGAAATCAAAAGACCTCCAAACTGCAATTAGCATAACAGTGCATAGAGACCGACATGGAAGAAAAATATATTTGAAATATGCTTTAAAAATATTCTTCCCAAATATATTGACATATATTTGAAATGCTACAATTTTGGCCATATTTATATTTCAAAATATATTTCAATAAATATATATATAAATATACTGCATGTTGAAATGTGTTTTTATTGCAAAATATATGAAAAATATTTTTAAAAATAAATTTCGAATATACTGTATGTCTTTAAAGATACAAATCTACATTTTTGGAATGCATTTACAAATATATGTAACAATATATGTTAAAATGACTTTTGTATATGTTAAAAAAAATCTGAAGAACATATTTAAAAAAAATATATTTTTTCATATATTTTGTAATATATAAAAAATGCATTTTAACATGCAGTATATATATTCCAGCCCAGGATGATTGGACTACATTCCACAGTTCTTCTCTATTTCTTGGTTTGGCCTCAGAAACTGCATTTTTGATGTCACCCCACAAGTTTTCTATTGGATTAAGATCCGGGGATTGGGCTGGCCACTCCATAATATCAATCTTGTTGGTCTGGAACCAAGGTGTTGCACGTTTACTGGTGTGTCTGGGGTTGTTGTCTTGATGGAACACCCATTTCAAGGGCATTTCCTCTTCAGCATAAGGCAGCATGACCTATTCAAGTATTCTGATGTATTCAAACTGATCCATGATCCCTGGTATGCGATAAATAGGCCCAACACCGTAGTATGAGAAACATCCCCATATCATGATGCTTGCGCAACCATGCTTCACTGTCTTCACAGTGTACTGTGGCTTGAATTCAGTGTTTGGGGGTCGTCTGACAAACTGTCTCCGGCCACTAGACCCAAAAAGAAAAATCTTACTTTCATCAGTCCACAAAATGTTGCACCATTTCTCTTTAGGCCAGTCAATGTGCTCTTTGGCAAATTGTAACCTCTTCAGCACATGTCTTTTTTTTCAACAGTGGGACTTTGCGGGGGCTTCTTGCTGATAGCTTGGCTTCACATAGGTGTCTTCTAATTGTAACAGTACTCACAGGTAACTTTAGACCTTCTTTGATCTTCCTGCAGCTGATTGTTGGCTGAGTCCTTGCCATTTTGGCTATTCTTCTATCCCTTCGAATGGTAGTTTTTTGCTTTCTTCCACGTTTTTCAGGTTTTGGTTGCCATTTTAAAGCATTTGTGATCATTTTAGCTGAGCAGCCTATCATTTTCTGCACTTCTTTATATGTTTTCCCCTCTCCAATCAACTTTTTAATCAAGGTACGCTGTTCTTCTGAACAATGTCTGGAATGACCCATTTTCCTCAGAATTTCAGACAAATGCACTGTAACCAGCATGTACAACATTTGCTGCCTTCCTTCCTTAAATAAGGGCAATAATTGCCACCTGTTTTTCTAAGAATGAATGACCTCACTAATAGAACTCCACACTGCTATTATTTTGAACATGCCCCTTTCAATTAGTGATTCAATTACACAGAATCAGCAGCATGCATGTCATGACTGTTGGGTCTGTTGGATTTCTATTACTCTACTACACCTGCTAGTAAATTATTTGCCATGTAGAAATATAATTTCTACCAAAAACAGTGATTGATCAGGTTAGTGATGTCTGACTGCTATTATTTTGAACACAACTGTATATAGTATGTATGTATGTATATATATATATGCACAAAACACCCAGCATCTATATGCAGTATATCACTGCAACTTTCACATTCTTTTATGCTTTATTCATTTAACCCTTTGACTGATACATGTCATATGTTGGTGGCAGCAAAGGGTTTTTCACACGTTACAATCCGACTGTCGGGTTTCTGTTGTACAGCTGCTCAATTGCTTTTTGTGACCCCCCCCCCAGTCATGCTTCCTATGCTCCGCTGTCCCACCTGTAGGCCTGGGACCCACATGGTGGGAGTTGCTGGGTAGCAGGGAAGGGGATCTCCCCTAGCTGCCAAGAACCCGGAAGGAAGGTAAATCTGCTCGTATTTTGTGCTGGACATACATTAATATAACCTTTACCTATTAAAAGATGGTGACTTGATTCATTTTCCTAGAAGAAAGAATCGTATGTAGGGATCTGCTGCCCTCTACTGTCTACTCTATTTGTAAATAGCTGTTGTTTAGTAACGGATAAGTTCCCCTTTTGTAACACATCACATCTGTATTTAGGGTGCAACATGTAACCTGTTACTGCGCAGCAGCCAACCTCCTCTCCATCATGCATTCCCTATCCCACAATACTCCCCCCCTCCCATCCCTACTCCTTTTAACATTTTAAAAACAGTGTGGCTCTTCCCACATAGCTGAGTCATTCAGTCACAGAGATTGGAAGATGGCTTGTATTTTTCAATGAACTACAAGAGTGGTAATGAACGCCCTCATTGACACTCCCTGCACTTCAGCAACTGTCTGCCCGTACGAGAGGAATTTTGTGGTAAACTGAATTGTAGGACATGATTTGATTTGGAAAAGCACACGCCTCTCTATAAAATGCCTCACGGGTGTCACAGGTACTGTATCAGAGCTAAAGCCATGCAGTCAAAAGAACTGCTTGCAGAGCTCAAAGAATTATTACAGATCTCGGGAAGGCTACAAAAACATTCTGCTGCACTGAAAGTTTCCAAGAGCATAGTGACCTCCATAATTCTCAAATGGAAGAAGTTTGGCACAACCAGGACTTTTCCAAGAGCTGGTTGCCTGGCATAACTAGGCAATCAGGGCAGAAGGGCCTTAGTAAGAGAGTCCCATCCCCACACAGGATCTCTGGAGGTCATCTAAGTTCCAGAAGGACAACCGTCACTGCAGACCTCCACTGATCTGGGCTTTATGGTAGAGTAGCTGGACAGAAGCCTCTCCAGAGTGCAAGACACGAGAGCCTTCTAGGCATTTGCAAAAAAAGCACGCAAAGGATTCTCAGCATCATCTATGGCCTGCCTTACACAGAGCTGCAGGATCACATGACCAGACTGGAGCAGCTTAAAAATAGGTAAGTACATACATCTTTAGTAGACAGGTTAGGCAGGCAGGATAGGTATGAGAACTGAAGAGGGAACATTATTATAATACAGGATTTATATAGCGCCAACACTTTGCTCAGCGCTTTACAATATAAAGGGAGACAATACAGCAACAATACAGTTCAATACAAGAGGGTTAGGGCCTGATCCTGGGAGCTTACAATCTAAGAGACATTTTTAAGAATAGACGTAATTAGACTTCTCATCCACTTTAATTATAATAGAAATAATACAAAAACATGGTACTTTTTACACACTTGTTTTATCTTATATATAATCTCATTGTTGCATGCAAAGTTCGAATTTTCTTAGATATGAGTGTAGTTCATATAGTCTGGGATGGCAACAACTAAGATTTTTTTCACAGCTAATAGTCTGGCTGCTTTATTTAAAATTGACTTACAAAAAATGATGAATGTACAAACTTCAGTCTTGAATGGTGCATTGGCAGCCCATTAAGAAAGTCAGCAGCACACATCATAATGCATGTTGACACACTGCAAGGGATGGACTAATGTGAATGGGCCCTAAAGGTCCAATATGGAGTCTACCAAGTCAGATGGGACAGGGAAAGGGCAAGACTGGTATAAACTTACAGCTGTTCTTATACAGTATTTGGATCTGTGCATTATTCTCATATGTGAGTTTTAACTGACGGTATCTTGGGCTAATGCATGTTTTCATCATAGGCGATGAGACAAAATATTATAAAATTAGGTGCCTGGCTTGCAAGGATTGGACTGTGCATGGCAAACCTAGATGTGGTAAAAAGATCAGGTGGTAGCCCAGACTTTTCCT